TTCATCGGTGGTCATGTTGCGACAGGGAAAAAACTAAAATAAAACAAAAACAAAATTACACATATGTTTTCAGTAAATGCAACTGACTCAGTGTAATATTACTGGGACGATGCTGAGGCAAGTTATTATCGTGAACTTGGACTCTACATTAGGAAAAAAAAACGCCAAAATATTGTCTGTCAGAAATACCCCCCGAACCGTGAAACTTTGCCGAAAGCTGCAAACAAAGTAAGAGGTTAGCTAAAATGTTTAATATGAGACAAGTATTTGTTGTCTCAATTAATTATTACCTTACGGGGGCAGTGACGTTCACAGTTGCACGCGTCATCGCTGGAATCGACCCGTTCACGTCCACACGTCACGATATACGTGGCTTCGGAGCAAGCAATTAGGACTGGCGTCAGGCTCTTTGTGATACGCGTTTGTTTTCTGATAGATATTTTTACAAAAGGGAAATTGAAGTGTCTGTGGGGTATCCAATTTCCCCCATGTCACGGTAAGAAACTCAGACGAAAGGTTTCTTTCATAAAGCCACTCCACAAATGTGCTTAAATAAATAGAGTTGATCGAAAATAATGATGTCGTACTACCAAAAACAATTTACTGTGTTAATAGGAATAATCGATGGTTTGACCTAATTATAATCATATTTATCAAAAAAAAAGGACAATACCACCTTGAACTGCCACCTGCCATGTTTCCATTAATAATATTATCAGTCGGCGTCATAGCAGTTAAAAAAATAACAATGAAAAACATACCAATAACACAGAAAATGTCCAATCTGCTTAGCTCTAGCGCTTGACATGCATTAACCTTCTGTATAAGGCTATTTCCAAGCACTTCTTGAGCCAGTTAAGTACCATCCATTCCATAATTGAATTCTTTTATGGGACTATTAGATGCAGTGTTCAGGCTACTGTAGTGACTAGAGGTATACCACTAAACAGGGCTACAATGCATAAGACCAGGGAACAAACACGGTCCAGACATAATGATATTAACACTTGTGGTATGTTTTCTGTGTTGGTTCTATATTGAGTGGTCCCGACTTGGATTCATCGCAGTGATTCGGTCCTTGTCCGATTGTGCGTGCTACGTACACCAGAAACGATACACGCCGGGCCATATTGCCTACTAAGAGTACTGGTGCATGACTGAATATGACGCTGTGCTATACCTGGCGCTTCGCTTCCATCGTCAACTCGTCTTTCAGATTTCCTGCGGCTGCCTAATCTATAGGCAGCCGACTGGCGTCGAGTCATAATGTGTCTAAAGTATCGGGTGGACAACATTCCAGCTACACCTTGACTCGTACACACGGTAAGGTGTTTGTGTAGCGGAATTCTCCACTGCAGACACAGAGTCTCCACTCGACGTTCGGGATCATTTGCGGACCCGTCCCACAGTCGGCATTGGCGATTTGCATATTTGGCGTATTGACTACTAAGGTTTACCTACCTATAGTGGCTCGATGCGGACCATTTAAAATTCAGGAGGTTGTGAGACGTGGTCGTGTTCCGTTTGCTTTATAATAGACCCGTCTTCTTGAAACGTCGAGAATAACATAATTACTTACACCATCGCCTCCTCCTTGCCTCTCTATAATTCCCTTTCAACCCAAACGAGACAACGAGTGGGTCGTTCAAGACGTTACCTACCTATTCCACTCCAAGGTGTTTCTGATTCACCTAATTGAGTTTCATTTCCATCATAATCACAGTAATCGACTGCATAAAGTGTTCTGATAACGCAAAGTAAAGACATGAACCATCGTCTGGAAAAGCCAATAACTGCACATATTCTCGCCGGCGTTATAAAACACTCAAAATATATGGGAATGGTTATTTAATATCGAAAGTCTATACCTTCGGAGACCAGCTTCACAAAACCTCGCCCACTATATTTGTACAAATATTTTAAAAGACCTTCTGACATATTTGGCCGACTAAATCTTTAAAAGTCCGTGGCGCCGTCTCAACTATGAATGAAAGTTTGACTTTTTTGTGGTATCCAGAACATACAATGGTGTTGTTGGCAGGTGGTACATGTCCGTTTCATATCAGAAATGTACTTTTAATAATCGACATTTAACGATTCCGATCCTTGCAAGAACACTTCATTCTCCACTTCAGAGTTAATTCGTCTACTACCACCGACACTTATCCCCATTTATCAAAGTTTTCCAACATTTAGCATGCAACATAAGTGTATACTCCAAGTATATCATTGCCAGCGAGGTGACTCTCTGGCAAAAAAAACACACACACTCGCACCGTGCTAACAACACTGGCATCGCGATTACTTAATTAGATGACCGCAAATTGCCCCGGCCTGAGGGCGAAATATGAGATAAACTAGGATATAATCATAACGATTTTCGATGGTATGATTTGTAAAAACGAACTGATGTGATTCAGTGTGTATATAGGAGTAACAACACCCTCTGGAAACACATTCTAGTGGTTGTTTCTCTCCCGACAAATGGGTTCTCCTCGGAGTTAATTTATTATGTTTGTCACATGTAAAAAGTTTCTGACGCTAAAAACGAGAGGAACAAAATCAATCATAGTTTGGAACAATTAGAGAGCGATTTTGTTCAAAGTGATTTATACAAATCAGATACTATGGAAGTTGACTTGTCGATGACAAACAATGTTCAAGAGGATGGGAACGACAATTGGAGTTTCCATTTACCTAAGTTGCAAAAGCAGATTTCATGCGATATACATCGATGTCTCAGCGTGGAACTTTAATCTCCTTAAAACTAATTTGACAATTTGGAATTTCAACCATCAGTCTTAGAACAGTGTCAAAACTCAAGTTGCTCATTGCATTTAGACTTTCACATTATATCCGTCAATAATCGAATAGGTACTTTATCGAGTGTCTTTCACTTAAATGTTTCACGTTAAAAGGGAATGATGAAGTAACAAAGAAAGCATTCCCCTGGGCTGTACGATCGGATGTCTGTGCTGCTTTTCATTTAATGGGCTACATGATAAGACGATACAAGGTGCTAGCCCAGCTAGACGAGGATTACCGCTACCCTTCACAATATCCCTTTCCGAGTGTTGTTCTAAGTGTTGAAAGCCCTGAAAAGCACTAATCAAACAAGCCACTTTATGCTGTGCATTTAGGAAAGTACTCAATAAATGACCGACTGGAGAGAGTAGAGTGGACTTAAATGACTAATATCTCCTCCGCAACATACAATGATTCTGGGACTTATTCTGGTGGAGGCTCGAAAGTTTCTCACAAGTGATTAATGGAATCGCGGATTGTCTCTCTTCCTGTTTTTTTTTCTACTCTGAAAAAAACCCGAAAAGTCTCAAAGTACACTAAACAACTACGAATGACTGGCTAGCAAAAATATTGTGAGTGATACTACAGCTGTCTGGAGCTAGTCTCCAAGTCCAACCTTCTCATAACATTTAGGTTTCAAGTTGCTTTTAAGTCTTTGAGTGCCTCCTTATCGGATAGCGGGGCAGCTCGTCGAGACCCTGTATGTGTTTCACCATTCGTCTACAAGCTTCTTTTCATTCCTATTAACGGTCACTCCCAAACACTTAACTAACCAGTGGTAGCAACGTCCTTATCGTACCCTCGTCACAGAATAGTAAACTCTAAAAGTAAATGAGTAACTCATTTAGTGTTTGATTGTTAGGACGCCTGTCAGGAAACAATCCGTCATATCCATCTTTGCCATTGCCTACACTTTCTGCAGATGCCAGTGTGTCTGTGTCGCGTTGCTGTGCAAACTTAAACACTTAAAACACACACACATACACACGAACAACTCAGAAATACATAAGGACATGCATGGGCTTCGCTATAAGTTTCGAAATTTTGTCTCAAATATACAGACACGTTCCCCTTTTTACACATTCGATATAAATACAAATAAAATTGTACTCGCAAACTTAGATATATTCCGAATATGTTAGAAAGATAGAATACGAAAAGTATAATATTTTTAAGAATACATTACGCAATTTGTTCTCAAGATAGCAGAGCACATGCTTGATTTTGGTATAAACTAACGAGTCCCGATGTGTTAGGGCATGGGTTCAGAATACGTGAGTAATTTGTTCGTGTAGTATAATACAAGTTAAACAAATTAAACAAAAAAAAACTTTTCAAAATTCGGAATATTTTCTCTCGCTTCAATAAGTTCATTTTCAGTGATTAAAACTCTCGTAGTTTAAAGAATGTTGACTGAGAGAAAAAGATAGATTGTATGTTCTCAGCGTAAAAGCATTTTGACAAAGTAGACAAGGCGATGACAATTATACTTAATTATAGAAATAAAACCAAATGTTGACTTTATACTGAAGTGGGTCTATTTTTTTCAACGATGTTCCCAGCCCATACAATACTGTGTTGGATGGGTATCGAATGAACTCGTTAGCACGCAACTGTTAGATGTGCTCGCTACGTTCAGTCCTGCGGTGGCCTAAACATCATTTACTTAAGCAAATGGAGGGATCGTATGCGCTAAACAGTTGTGACAGTAAGTGGCTCCGAGCTAAGTGCATGATACCTATCGTCATTGATTGAAACGTTTATACTGTCAACACACGAAGTCTACCAATGGAAATTGGCCAATCAGGTACCGCTATTGCATAGACACAGGCACGGTGGAACCACTTGTCTTGCAGGCATTGTATAGACCCCCCATCCTATCGAGTTCAGATTTCACCCCTTGGCGCTTAGTGGTCACGCCCAGACAAGCACTAAACCGCCCCGTTACAATGTAGGAGGGAGGGCCGTCTGAGGTTATGCGATACGATTAGTCAGTGACAGACGACGGCGTATAGTAGGATCTTAAATAGGAGAACCTGTATGACAAGTTGAGCAGTTGGTTACGTTACACTACGCGTTCCACCACTAAAACTAGTAGGGGAAGCCTGCATATACTTGTTACACCCGCTGGGGTGAACACAAATATCATTATGCTAGCCACTTCTATGTCCAACAATACACCTTTTTCTGTTAAGGATATATTGAACTTAGCCGAACAACAACAACAACAGCAACAACAACAATTGCACCACGATCAGCATCATCATCATCACCACCACCAGTTGCAGCAACAAACGATGATGGAAGCATCGCATCACGATCTGAAATCACTGTGTCTGCCTCTAGAGGCAGAGATCGTAGAGTCAATGGATCTAGGGATGGCACAGACGAACCTGTATCACCATCATCACCACCCAACGCCGTTACCAGCATCCAGCAATGCAAACAACATCAATAATACGAGTATATTATCAGAACTAGGCAAATCGAGTGAGACAAGCCGGGAGGAAGTGGCTATCGAGCAAAGTGAGTGTTCCTTGAAATCCCCCTTAATGCACTATCATTAAACCACTTCAAAAGAGACTGTAAAAGTTAAGGTCGGTCAGTACGGTTTTGTTATTACAGCACAGAAGCCAAATTGGGTATAGTGTACACGACGTATAGTTATTGTCAAGACTCGTTTTCTTGTATTGTTCGTGTTCAGAAATGTATAATCACATTTGACGCCATTTAAACGATTTTCTAGGGAAATGATTTCCAATGGATATACAATTTGTTCTCCAATGTACTGCACCAATTTAGCATGTATCGGTGATCCGACAAATCGGAAACTTCTAAAGAGACTTGTTTTCCTAACACTAAAGTGTATTTGAGTGCTGTGTGTAAAGTACACAGTTAAAGTACACTGAATTTTAGCTTCTGTATGAACAGTAATACGTGAATCGAGTTCGAATCATTTTTCCAATCTGGGCCCCGAGGAAGTGTGCATGATGAACGAACACCTTTTACATTGCATTTAATTGATTAGAAGTTCATTGAACCGTTCGACCAGCAAATCTAGCTTGGATTAATCTTAACCCATGAAGTCCCCCACAAAAACAAAATCAGTTGGTATTCATATGCCGTCATAACGGTTTTATGATTGCCGTCTCTCGTTTTACTTTTTTATGTGAAATGCGTGCCGTTCAAAAAAGTTTACATTCTGTTCTGGTTATACCGTGTCCTGTAATTCAATATTTTAATATTTTGATATTGACAACTTTCTAATTTTACCTTCTCTTTTTTGTTTTTGCTTTAACAGGTTCGTCGACAAGTACTCAAACTGTGAAGAGTGTTGAGAAAAAACCCAAAGACGACGATCGCGCATCACAGCAAAAAAATAGACAGAGGCGTAAACCTCGTGTTCTGTTTTCCCAAGCCCAGGTCTTTGAACTTGAACGTCGGTTTAAGCAGCAACGATATTTATCAGCGCCAGAACGAGAACACTTGGCGAACATGCTGAAACTAACTTCGACGCAAGTGAAGATATGGTTTCAGAATCGCCGATACAAATGTAAACGACAGCGGCAGGACAAAACACTAGAATTGGCCACACAGCCGGCACCTCGGCGCGTGGCGGTACCGGTGTTAGTACGGGACGGCAAACCTTGCCTCGGTAGCCCACCTCCTCCGTACAGCTATAACAACAACTACAACAGTGCTTGCACTTACTCGAACTATCCAAGTTGTAGCAACATGAACGTGAACCCTTACACGCCGTACACCTACAGCAATACATCGTACACGCTTCCAAACGTCAACGTTCAACCGACTTCGTACTCAATGCAACCTCAGCCTGTACACCAGGGCGTTCGGGCTTGGTGACATACAACCAACCACCCGGAGACCACCTAGTAGTTTATGCGTTGTACTGATCCTCTACAGATGCGAGTCTTGTGTAAATAGTCTTAATATCCTACCGTGTCGGCGCTGATGGACAGTTTCCTCGAATTCATTCCAAACACCAATCAGGCAACCCTTATATCCCTCTCGATATTGTAGGCCGACCAACTTGTAGTGTGCTGAAACTGATAGAATGACTCGCATTACAATTTTCAAGACAACTTTCAATGTAATATTTTAATAGTTTTGAACATGGTTTAATCTATGATAGTATTATGATACTGCTGCGTCGCAACAACTAGCCCCCTTCGTGATCATCATGATCATCGTATTTAACATTGCTATCGTCACGTGCAACGAAGGATTTGGAGAAGTACGGACAGATACCAAGACGATGGGGAAAACAAATTGATGAAAATTAACGAGAATCAGTACTCACCCAGGACCAGGTTGTACATTTCGTTTCTTTTTATTGGGTGATTAACTTTTTTGACTGACAAATACAAATTACCAGTTTATTAACAAAAGCTGTAGCGATAGATTCGTTATGCCAATTTTAAAGTTCGCAAATAAATTTTTACGCAGATTCAAGTGGAAACAATGACAAAACGATATAGCCCGTCAGTTTGCGACCATATATAGTATGTAGTCTAGTATTTTATATGCCTCTGAAATGTTTTTTTTTAGTATTAAACTTCAAATTGTTAAACAGTGTATTTTAAACTATTTATAAATAAGTAATAAAGGATAGATTTAAATAATAGGTTAACACGAACCATTCGCCTCCGTCTCGGTACTTATTTTAATGATATTTAATGTTTTTGGTCGAATCATTCCGACTACTCCAAGCATTGGTGATTCTCGGTTTTGGGACTGAAACATAAATATAAAAAAAACGTGCGATGTGAAATTGTTTCATTTTGACACAGTTTTATATAATATAAATAAAATCGGCCAAAAAATTACATTAGTTCGTTTTTTTAATTTCTGAATTCCGATTGGTCCAGAAACGTTGCCAAAGACTTCACTCTCTGGTAACTAAGGTAACATTTGTACAACTCAATTTGATTTGTAAAATGTTTGTTTGGTGACTTGTTGTATGGGTTCATAGCATGGGGTGATGACACATTCAATATTTGGGTTGTTTTAATGCGTTATAGTGTATTCTATATGGCCGTTAAGTTTCCCTATTGACAAGGTAACAAAGGTGCGCAGTATGTATTTTAACCATCTTACTGCATCTAGTGTGAAAACAATAAAACGCTCAGAAACAGAACTCAGACCCGATGAACAAAAAAAAAATACTACCGAAAGGGCATTTATAGAGCTTTATTGAGCCTGTACAAAAGAGCATAATGGAGAGTAGTTTCAGCTATATTGAAGTTATTGAGCAATCCGTTATACCAGTAAACAAATCAAATTGCTACAATTACCTCTCGTTTTGGTTAAAACCCATCAAAAGAATCTAATTAAGCCTTTTTTTCCGATAAATAAAATAGTTTAATAGATTTTAAGAATAAGGCGAAGCAAGGCTTATTATGCAGCTTAATGATAGCGCTCTGGTATAATATTCCATTGAGACCCCAACCTATCGTTATTATGTCGTTTAACACTCACTAAAGCCCTGTCATTCTATCGATAATTACCGTGAGCTGCAACCTCTCTGTGTAGTGGTTTAACCCCAGTCAACGTGCCCCACCATTGAAACCCCCACCGCATTTAAATCGTACATTCAATATTATCCATGAAAATAAAGGCAAAGTGCTGTCTACTGTGTGTTCTTTCATAAATTGAATTCGAGATCTGTCTTTAATTGTTTTTGTTTTTAAACCTCTAAATTTTTCGCGAGTTTTTAATTCGATAGTTTCAAATCCGAGCGACGCTTTCATGTGAATATCGAATCAACCTCATTGATCCTGATCGCTTACTATATCAATTTCAGAATTACTTCAAAGTAATCAAAATTTCAGAGTTGCAGTAAACCTAGAAATCTGCGGACATAGCTTGATAAATAAAACCACTGTTTGTACACACAATAATCATCTTAAAATAAATGTTTTGCCACCGGCGGTAAGCGACATCAGAAATTCATTGATTTATTGAATTCAGAAAAAAATGTGATTTTAGATTACCAGTCGATTGCTTATGTTTACTCGGCAAAGCAGGTGGGTTCTGTTGACACTTGCCAATAAATTGCAGTTAGCCCATTCGAGCTATTATTAATTTCGCTTAATATATATCGCTTTTTCCTGTGGTACTGGTTTTAACTTTGACTGCCAACGTTAAATTGTATACATGTTTAGATAAATGTGCCTGAGAAAACTAGACCTCCTTACCACAAAAAATATGTATACAATTCATAAGAAAAGTAAAGCAAAACGGAACGAAATGATCCCATGTCATTCCTAGTTATGATCCGGTAGTTATTTTGCGTCACCCCGCATTCTTTTCGAAAAAAAGATTTGTGGTTTTAAATTGTGGAGATGTTCGTTATCAGGTGTTGGGTATTCATTGTGTGGTAATTATTATTTGAAATAAGACGGCATTAATGTGTGTATACGGCTATAATTTATGTCCTATTTCTTTGGAGTCTTGTTTGTCTGTTACGGCGGTCAACGATGCTTTATTGTTAAAATTCCACTCGACTATTACTAGTATTTCGAATTTTACGATATTTATAAAACCAAGAAATATTGAAAGTATCCCAACTTGATCAATAAATGAAATACGATGTGCAGATCGAGAATAATATTAAACGAATAGAGACCAAATCGTTTAGACAAGATTACGTGGGAGCGTTTATTAAATTTGACAACAATAGCGTAATTGCTTGCACCATGTGAGCTCGTGGCTAAACATGGCATAGCAATTTTCTCATAATCAAGGTTTTTTTTTTACTTCAAAATATACCGTGGTTTTGAACGTAGACTTTTCTACATATATTTTTACGCGACTGGTTGAACTCAGGCGGCACTGCAAACAATGATGGGATCATAAGGTTTTGAGGTTGTTACTCTCGTCATGAACTCGTGGATTGCAACCGTTACTGAGCACTTGGGTTATAGAGCTAGATACGGGTTTATTAGAAAACCCTGTCGCTTTTCCCCGCAATCGGAAGCGTTCAAGTACTTTAATAGCCCCAATTCCGAGAATGGCGGCTGAGAGTCGTCCTGTTTCCGGGTTCGGAACTGAAAATAATGTATTTCTCACTCGATTCAAATCATACAAGTCACATTTTGACGTGCGTTATTGATAAAGTGACAAGCCTGTGCGTTTGGTGACGACCGCGCCTCCATTTAAGCGGTAACCTCTGAACCTCTTCTGTGGAAACAGCGAAACCCCCACGTGGGGAGAATTAAAATATCTCCCAATACACAACTTTGTACTTTTTGTACATTTCAATTTAAAGGGGGCATGAGAACTGTGAGAACGTTACAAGACTATCACATATTCGTTATTGTTGTTTTATTAAGAACGGAGCACTACTGTCAGTAAATATGCGGATGTTGTCATATGCCGCCTAATGAGTAAAAATAACCATTGTAACAAGAAATGAACAATACTCGAGAACCATCTAGTTTGAGCGGTTGTCTAAGTTCAGAGTTTTAACAAATGAAATATAAACTATCGCCTAATGTAACATCATATCCGTATACGTGCACCGACTTGTTCACTTTGTGACAAAAAAACATTAATATCATGCAGTACCTTTTTTATAATGATGTAACATGTGACGAGATAAGTTCATCAGGCGTGCCGAATTTAAAATAATATCATAGTTGTTAGCTTATTAAATGTACGAATGCGATTCGATCTATGGCGGTAGATAACGAATTTGCAGAAAAACGTAATTCAATGCTGTGGTCTCGGTATTCAGACCGGCCGGTTCGGTAGTCAGGTATACTAGAGGACATACTCTCACAAAACCAATTCTCGTTCAATGACAGCGTATTTTGTAGTAGAAGCAAAAGTATACGAAAAAGTACGTACAGATGCCGTATGGTTGATGCAGTGATTAAATACAATTCCACAAATCGACTCGAATAGTGAAAGTAAGATCAGAATCCGAAATTTCGGAGTGTGAGAAACAAAAATGCTACAATGTACGGCTCGTGGCGATCCTGAGTGTGTTGTGATATTCCCATCAAGTGGCACGTGATCAGAATGCATTGAAATTACATTCATGCAGTTGCAGCCTTTGTATCAACATCTTTTTTCGGGGTATCTGTAGTCTTCTCGAAATTATTATTATTTTGTATAAAATTTGTGCTCTTACAACTACATATTTCAAAAGATTTCAGTACAGCACAATGTCACATACTAAGATCACAAAAGTAATAACCAATTTATTTTGTCTTTTTCATTGTTAAACTAAGTTGGCGTGTCCACTATTAACATTTTAATTTTACTACTAATTTCATACTTTGAAATTTTGTTTTGGCTCATGAGAGTTAGTTGAAAGATCGAACAAATTTAGTTGCGACTTTGCTAAGTAACTGAGCTCTATCTAAAAATCCAGGCCCAAAACCGAGAATCACTTTTTGCTATTTTTCCCAATATCGCTGTGACTTTGATAAAGTAACTAAACTGTATCTAAAAATCCGGCAGGCCCAAAACCGTGAATCACTTTTTGCTATTTTCCTCAAATTTAGCTGTGACTTTCAAGTTGATAAAGTAATAACTGAAGTGTATCTAAAAAAAAAAAACAGGTCCACAACTGTGAATTATTTTGTTTTCACAATTTCGGAAGTCTACGGAAGAAAATAAAATCATCCCGGGAAGAGCACCTTAACTCAGTCTAAAAATACGATTGACATGTGTGGTTCTCAGTTGGTTCTGAAATATACACGGTCGTCAGCGTGATGTCTGACAGCGCTTTGGAGTTTGAAAATTGCAGATTATGTAGGTACATGACCCTATGTGAACAATGTTAAAAAGTGTATAGTTCAGATGATATTTATAATTAATAAATACAATATTAATTGAACAATTAGTAATTCATATTGTAAGTCTGAAAAAGGTTTAGCCGCCACCATGTCAGGGCGATATTTTAAGACAAAGACAACTGTTTTTTTCTAGTTTGTCCCGATTTCTAGGTTGTTAAAGTGTTATTGTATTGGTGGTGAATAAAGGAATTCTGACTGATATTACCATGCAACCACATTATGTTATTCAATTACACGTCGAGGTCTATACCGGTAATTCATCCCAAGTTCATGTCGCAGTTCAAAAAAGTTAGAAACAGTTTTGTTTCATAATATCGTTTTAAACTGTGACATCGCATCGATTGGCTACGT